GGGGAGGAAGGAATGATGTCAGTGTGACTGTACATGCACCGGTTTACTTCCAGGGCTCTCGCTTAACAAGGAGAAGCAGCAAGTTTAGTCACTATGCAGCACAGCACTGAAACCAACTGCCTGATGGTCTATCCATTACAGTCTTTAAATCCATGACTTTCAACTATTTTACAAAACCTAAGGTATACATCATTGGATTTTATTCTATTTCTATCAAATTTATTTCTATTATTTTACTCCTACAAATGATCTTTTAGTATTTTCCACAGATTTGATCCACTGTTAATCTCGTTACCTCTTTTATTCTACTATTTCTAATCTATTTCATTTAGCTGGAAACGTGTTTTAAGCTCTTTTTCAATGTCGTCTCTGTGTTGTTGTTGAATGTTCCTGTACAGCACAGTGTGAAATGTGCTTTCTAAAGAAAACTACCTTGTTAAAACTCCTCAACACTGAAATGATGGAATTAAAACCCTCAGAAAAGACTGAGGGCTTTCAAGTGTGTGCTGCTCACTGAGCGGAGGCAGATCTGCAACAATGAAGTGCGGGAATAAATGAATAAAAAGGTTATTGCAGTGAAACAATGTCTTCAGATTCCTGCAGGATCATGAGATAATGAATAAATGATGATAAAAACATTTCATGTCAAACACTCTGTCTGCAGCCTCGTGTCCCTGCTGGCTTTAACTGGACATTAGGACCAATCTAACTCATTTGAAGACATTTATGTCCCTTGTTGGTTAATCATTAAATCCAGAGGTTGAAGTTGGAAACGTGGCCTGTGCAGTGAAGTGGACTGAGCCACATCTTCAGGCCTGAATAAAGCGCAGCCAACCCTCCGACCTCCACTTATCATTTTGTCATCACATTATATTTGACGTGTTTACCTGCTGCTTGTCAAAATGCTCCTTCTCCGCTCCGAGGTTGACCTCGGTCCTCCTGCTCTTCACCCGGGTGGGCACCTGCCTTATGCTGTTCATCCTCCCACCAGAGGAAGGAGAAGCAGCAAACACAATAATCTCTCGCTCCTGGACAAAAAAACAGATACAAACGTCCGGATGAGACGCAGCGATCAGAGGTGTCTTCTCCTGTCTGCTTTCCGGACTCTCTGCCGGTGCGTCACGGACATGCCCCGGTGTTTCCCCGCGCTTAGATGCCGGAGATGCGCCGCGGTGGAAGGAGGAAAAAGACGCAGCGACCGGCGGAGCGTGTTTGCTCCGTGTTACGTGAACGGATCCTCCCCCAAGGTGGAGACAATCATCCTCATCATCATGTCCTCCGCTGCTGCTGATCACATCCTCCCACGCTAATGTCAGCTTGTTGTTCACAGCTCAGCTGACGTGGGGGTGAAGCTTTCTATCACTACTGTCGCTTGACTCGAGCTGCGGAGTCATTTCACTGCGATCAAAACCCACGAGGATTCTTTTTTTTCCAATTCCGTCATTGCCAAACAGTGACGACACAAACCAGGAAGTACAGTTCAGTTTTGAAACAGTGGCGGATATGGTTTTTTTGGGGGGGCAATCAAAGGGGGCCAACAGTGACTCAGCACTTTTAGAACTCTGGTTAGAGTAAATTTCTACTTTACTTTCTCCACCGATGTTTCAGAAGATCCTCATAAAAATCTATCTGATGAATTGAGCCATGAAACAATCGATTACAAGTGTGTGTGTTATTTTTTGAGAGTGAAGTGGATACCTCCATCAATCAGCAACATGGCTACTACAGCTGAGGATTGTGGGTAGTGTAGTACTTCTCCTTAAATAAAACACATTTTCTCAAAACACAGTTGATACCATAGACTGTATATAAAGAGGTTGATACCATACAAACGTGTGGCTTCTACTTAATTCCTTGTTTGCTGTTAGTGCTTATTCAAGTACATTGTGTACTTCAAATATGCTAAGACAATAAAAGTGCTTATCAAACTGTCGTATTCATTGTTAATATTTTTTGTAAGTGACTAGTTTATATTAAAAAAAGACAGGGGGCACTTCAGCTAATCAGATTTTAGCCCCTGGATTCAAATCACAGAGTGTGCCTTCATTTGGATACACTGCAATACACAGAAACACCAAAGTCATAGACGTTGACGTCGAATGCACCTTGTGTGGACGTGAGCCAGAAAGAATTATCGTGCCCACATCTTTTACACAATCAGAAGGAACAAAAAAAATGCAAATAATGTTTTCAGATCTTCATCTCAGCAGTTTATGCATTGTCTTGGGCTGTGATGGCACAGAGGGAACTCATATCTGTCCTCTTGTATCGTATGGCATCTCACCGCAGCATATCCAACCATATCATATCTTATTGTATCATGCATCATGTCATACTTCTCTTCATCACCAAGTCCAAGATTATGGGTTTTTACCACGGTGACTTGCATCTCTCACTTTGCCCAACCATGTGACTATGGTATGTGAATAAACCTGATTTGTTTGTCAATCACTACTTCCTTCACTTTTTAGCATTAGCTAACTTCAGCTAAAACTTTAAATATCTTTTTAAACAATCAAGTTACAAAATTAGCAGTCACACAATCTAAATTTGTTCCATATAATTAGTTTTTATTGATTTTCATTGATGCTGACCAGACTTCAAGTTACCAGTGTTCTTTCTTTTGTACATTCAGGCTCCATCTGTGTTCAGTCCTCCTCAAGGTTGCGAGACTGGAATTTCATGTTCATTGCGCCGGGTGGAGCAGAGGCCGTGATGTTTTTGTTTGCAGGTATGCAGGTGAAGGAAACACAAAGACTGATGGGACAACAGGAGAAGGGAACAAAAGACACTTTAGCCCTGCAGGCCAAGATTCCTTCGAAGCTGCTAGTCACATCCACAGACAAATTACCTGAGTGACTGCTGTGACATATAATATAGTGACCGACGCAATGATTGTGAAGTCATGTGAACACGTAGGTCTGTGGATTTTTTAGCACTATATATAGATATGTACACAAAAACATTAATTCAGGAAATACTTGGCCTCGACAGACTCTCCTCCTCACTCACCCCTCCCACTTCTTTGCCTTTGACTCTTGTATCGCTATGAGTCACACAGCCTTTAGATTCAATATTGAGTGAAAAGATCCATGAGCTTTTGCTTCACAATAGAGTTCAGCAGTAACACATGCCACAGCCCCCAAAGTCACAGACTGAACATTCAAACCTTCATGACAATGAATGTGTTGTGGTAGTTTATCAGTCTGATCTGATAAACTTCCAACAAGGTGTAAATTAACAGCAGAATTTTCAAATGTTGTCCACTAGATAGCAGTAGATCACATATAATTAGAGGGAGCTTCCTCTTAACCCTTTTTTGTTGATGATCCTGTCATTACAGTATAAAGTGCATTAATTATCCATCTCTGCAGAACGTGTCCCATCGCTTTCTTAAACACATATTTGCCTGATATTCAGACTGAACTTGTCACTTCAGTCCTTCTGTTTGAGTCAATGAATGGAACTGAAACGTCTGCTTTGATTCAGAAACTCTCAAAATGAGTTAAGAGATAGAGAGGCATGTCCACCAACCAGAAAGTCGGTGGTTTGTTATCCAATTCCTCTCGTCTGCATTCTGAAGTTCCCTCATGCAAATTCTGATCCCCAAGTTGTCCCTAATGACTGAGCTGACAGTGTAAAAATGATGTGGAACAGAAAAAGCTGCGTGCCGTTTGTGAACTATAAAGCACTTTGAGTAAGGAAGTGCAATATAAATAAATTTCCATTTTAGTCATTGCAACACAGATATCACCTGGACTAAAGATATAAAACTTTGAATGTTTCGAGACTTTGCAATAGCTGCAACTCCAAAGCAAGGACCAAATTGACTGAAATATGTAGTGAAACTTTTTCTCTTATAGGTTTATTTTTAATGCTTCAAGCTCGATTTCCATATTTCCTCAACCTGAAGCTTTGAAGCTGTTCAAAGAGGCAATGGATTACCTGATCAAGTTAGTTAAAAGCATATTTTTCATCATATCATGCAACTGCAACATTCATGTATAGCTGTAGAGCTATATTTCCAAGAGTCATATTTGAAAAGAGAAGTACAGTCGATAAAAACTGCAAGAACATGAAGTTTTTGTTCTGCAAAACAGGTCCTGAGCTCAACGCTGAATCATAATCAAGCATATATAAAGACGCATGTAAATTTATTTTTCTCCACAGGCGCTTACTCATAGTAGGAACTGTCGAGTTTCATTATACTGTAAAGTCCTGACTTTGATATATGTATGTTGTTATTTGGTGTTAAACAAATAAAACTGAATTGAATTGAATAACTAGATTGGCACCCTGAAGAGCACATACCTCCGCCGAGGCCCAACAGTCCCCTTAAATTCAATCAAGCCGCAAACATTTCACACATTCATAGATATCAGTCTTCTAAACGTGCCTGATCAAGTTCAAGATCTCTGCAGTACTGTTTGAGAAATTTGTAAAATATTGAACAAAGCCCCAATCTCGCAATGTCAAAGAAAAAGAAATCCTGAATCTAATTCTTCTCTTATACTCATACCTCATCCTCTCACAAAATTCTGTGTTAATCCATCTTGTAGTTTTTGAGTCATTTTCCATTGAAGAGCAGATGAAGGCATATCCTGTTTGGTGGAGGCAATGAGTCTCAGGTCAGAGTTTCACACTTGAATGTCTCATGAAGTAATCAGTTGTGTTGATATAACTTGTTGATGTTCATTGGAACAAACTTTTAGTTTAGTTCTGTGTGTAAATCCAAATAAAAAATAAAGCTTTGAGCTTAATACTGATTTCTATACAAGTTTTAAGGTTAAATTGTTTCTCAACAATCAACTAATAATGTTGATTTCCTGTTGGCCCTATATATCAGTCTAAAACATCAGAGGGAATAGAGATGTGTGAACACTTGATAAAGCAGAACCTTCGCAAACTACTTCCTGTCAAATAACCACAAACATGCTTCTGTTAAGAGACTGCACAGTTCTCAGGAGGTGATTTCTTTGAAGCAGCCAGAGAGACAACAACTCAACATGCAATGCCACTTTGATGGAACTCTGCTGATCAGAGTCCTCCCTCCACTGTTGGTGACAGAGATCATTCTGGGGATCCTCGGCAATGGTCTGGCCCTCTGGATCTTCTGCCTCCACTTGAAGCCCTGGAAGAGCAGCACGGTGTTGCTCTTCAGCCTGGCGATGGCCGACTTTCTGCTCATCATGGCTCTGCCGTTCCGTGCCACCTACTACATGTCCGGGCTCAACTGGATCTTTGGAGAGGCCTTCTGCAACATCTGCCTGTTCATGCTGGCAATGAATCGCAGTGGAAGTATCTTCTTCTTGATGGCCATCGCTGTGGACAGGTACATGCGTGTTGTGCATCCCCATCATGCCATCAACTCTTTGAGTGTCTTCAAAGCCTTTCTCGGATCACTTGCAATCTGGATAGTCACCATTGCAATGACCTCTCACATCTTCATGTCAAAACATTTCATCCCATCTTCCAAACATGCCAACAGGACGTACTGTGAAAGCTTCATGGTGGAGGCCGACCCCCACCACAATGTGAACTGGCACAAGTTTGAGTTTCTCTTTTCCTTCTATTTGCCGTTGATTGTGATTCTCTACTGCACCTTCCACATTATCAGCCACCTCAGAGGCAGACAGCTGGCCCAGCATGCAAAGATCAAGAAGGCTCTGTGTTTCATTACAGTGGTGGTGGTGCTCTTCATCACCTGCTTCCTGCCGAGCAACATCGTGCAGCTGGTGATTTGGTTCAAGACCAGTGAGGTTGCCAGCACCCGCCCCAAATCTGAAGTCTGTGACGCCTTGGAGGACCTGACCTGTGGATTCTACATCTCCATCAGTCTGACCTATCTCAACAGCGTGCTGGACCCCGTGGTCTACTACTTCTCCATCCCTGCCTTCAAGAACATCTGCCGCAAAGCACTTTGCCTGCCCGAAGCAGAGCATACTGAAAGCACAGGGAGAAAAACTCGAGAAACCGGCTCCCAGTCGCTCAGCCAGCTGTGATCACGCAGAAAAGAAGGAAATAACGAAGAACTGCAACAACTAAAGGTTTTCACCAAAGGTCAAGCCTTTCTCTGTAAGTTGTCCTGCGACTGCAACAGACAACAAAATGTTACTTTTAATTCTTATATTTATCAAGTACATATTGACTGCGCTTTTTCTTTTCAAAACATAAACTAATGTTAAGTTATGAAACTAAGGAATTCAAGCAAAACCATTATCCACCTCTGCCACAAGTCTTATTCTGAGATAACTGTAAAAGATTAAATATTTTACAGGGGGTCATGAAGAGAAAAGACTTAAATCATGTCTGTTACAGAACAGCATCCGCTCACATCAACTCCATAAGCTTCTGTTCACATCACACCAAGTAAAACTGTCAGCAAAACCATAAATGTGCCAAACTGAGCAATTGAACGTCTCATATGGGTTTTGTGAAAGGAAGATCATGTTATTTCATCTTCCAAACATTACTTTCTTGAAAAGAGGAAAACTCTTATTTCTCTATGTATTAACTGCATTTAAAAAATATTTCTTCTTCATGTGCTATGTGAAATAATAAATACACTTTGTCGTTTTGACATATTGTCCAACTTAAAGACACCAAACTACATCTTAAACCCCTCCGATAAAGTCTTATTCATTCTTATGAGCTCATATGAATTAAAAACAATCTTTTCATCACATAAAAATGATACCAGAATTATGAAAAAGCATTAAATTGTTACCAAATTACAGATGTAAAGATCATTTTTAGTCTTTGGTCAATGAATTGTCTTCGCTGCTGGAACCATAAATAAAGATTTTCATCCTCATCATATTTTCTTGTTTCATGTGATTTCAACATGTAAGCTCTAATACACAGAAGTCACCACAAGAATTGAGATCCATAAACCAAATAAAACCTGCGCACATTTACTTGCATCCTGCTATTACATTACATAATATTAGCATATGAAAGAAAAATGGAGCGTATAGCTCCACCTCCTGGGCCAAACCACCCTTCATGTTTGTCTCACTCTTAAAATATGAAATAAAAAGGAAGAATGATAACCTGCATTCAACTGTAGAAACTCATTGATGTCAAGACCATAATTGTCTTATTTTCACTTCAAGATCCGTTATTTCTTGAAAGACTGATGAAAAATATCCTCTCACAATACTCAGGAAAGAGACCAAAAGTCCCTGAATCTTCCCTTTTGACTAGATCAGAAATATAATGTTATTGGAGGCCGTAGCCAGCAACAGTACTGAGTTCCTAATAAAGTGCTTGTAAATAACAGCCATGAGCTAAGAAGGTAAAATTGGATTAAAAAGACATGGATTTTTGATCTGCAGCTTCTAAACTCATTTCAAGTATTTCTACACGCAATTGCCGATAATGAAAGACATTTATTCAGATATTACATGAACAATTCAAAGATAAATGTTAAGTGCAAATATTGCGTCACTGCTCCAGATGGACCAAGTGAATGATAAATGATACAATGTACAGACAGAATCCATCCAGCTCATCCTGAACCTCCATTCTGCATGTGGAGAAACTCCTGAAAATCAAAAGAGGAATCACAGAATTATTGTTGTGTTTCGCTTATCGCTGATAATCCCAGAGATGTGATAGTGAAATAATAGTGTCATGCCCTACATCAATAACAGTTTAATGTCATCAAACACCAGGTTATTTATTTATGTCGTGGTGGGGTGTTTGTCCCAGGTTGATCTGGCTTCAGTTACCTTCATGCAGCTTGGTGACGGGGAGCCGTTTGTCAGCGTTTTCCCTCCCTGATGCTCTCTGTGCTTAATGTACTCACGAACGAGCGAATCAGCATCATCCTGACTGAAGAGCAGATATAAGAAGAATCTGACGTGCAGAACTCGCATCATACATTTAAAAAGGTCAAAAGCTTAATGTAGGTTTTGTTTTGTCAAAGGTCCTCAGACACCAGGTGCCATTTTGTAGTTACACAGGTTTCAAGCCGTGTAAAACTCAAAATGAACTGATTCCATGGCTTTACATAAAATTAAAACCAAATATTCAAACATCTTTATAGCTCAGTTAGAACTCCCAGAACACAGTTTGTACGGTTTTCCTGCCTTCAGGGGATAAACTGGATGTAGAGGTGACGAAATTCAGTTTGAAATACTGTGTTTGGACCAAAGGTCACATGTCCAAACTTTGTGTCCAACATTGAGCCACTGGACACTAAACTAAAAGCAAGTCAGATCAGAGATGTTTTTTTTGCTTTCCTGTGATATTTAGTGCCAGAGGGAGAAAACATTTAAATAAGCAAAAAAATTACCAGTTCTGGCTGATCAGGTAGTCCACCAGGTCTTTCACTTGCTCGGGGTGGCCACTTGACACCATGAGCTCCTTCAGATGCTTGAAGTGTTTGGTCCTCATCAGTTTCTGGTGCTGCCCATTTTGGCTGATGAAAGTTAGAACAGTTTCCCTGATCTGGGGGAGTCATAAAGACAATCATGTCATGTGGTGACATCATGTAACAGTTGAATTGAAATAAAAAGAAATGGCTATAAAGGTTGCAACAATCCAAATACATTTCAGGGCACTAGAGCTCCCTTTTCTCTTCAGACACACAAGCACACACCCTCTCATACAGACACACATAACTCTGCATGAAGTGTTATTTTTATTTACACATTTTCAGACGGGTAAACAGTTTGGATGCAGTAAAACCAACACCTCCACAATCTTTACCCCATCAGACTCATCCGACTGTGTTTCCTGTTCACATCTATCTTGACTTAACCTTTACAAACAGCATCAAAGTTTACACAACATGTAACACTGTAAGGCTGCAATAGACACATATGCAACATACAATGTTTGCGCAAAACATTTTTCAAGCTTTTTAAATGTTAATTTAAATTTAAAACCTTTTAAGAACTTTTAATGCCTTTTCTTTGTAAAATTAATACTTTTTAAGGACCTGCAGCCACCCTGCTTGAAAAAAGTTGACATGTCAGTTCTTGTGTGGCACAAAGAGTCTAAATACACATGTAACCTAAATAAACCTCAAACCTTTGAGGGGATTCCAGCCAGTTCACCAGTGGTCATAAGCTCCTCCACCTGCTCAAGGACGGTGACCGGGCTACAGACGGACAGAAAGCCCTGCAAGCAGGAAAAACACACAGGTGGTCATGATATGCATTTACATTTAGAGCCTAAAACTTATTGTTCTTCCAAACAGTTATTTCTAACATGTTGTACTGACATGGATGTACTCACCTGGATCTGCTGAGCCTTTTTATTGGCACAGGGGATGAGAAGGAGAGTTCCCAGGGCAAAGGCGGGCAGATTGAACTGTGCAAAGCGATTTGCAATTCCTATCAGATCCAAATTCAACAGGAAAGGGCACCTTGGGAAGAAAGACGAGTCAATGTGAAGACAATATGATAAATAATTCAGCTCATCGCTGCTTTGTTTGATAAATTAATAAAGGTCACTTCCAATTTTTTCATGCAGCCAGGTTTGATATACTGGAATTTGTCAGCTCTGTTTAGGAAGTGAATTTTGGTTGTTGGTTGGTTTGTTCGTTTGTCAAGGAGATTACACAAAAATGACTGAATGGATTTCTAGGAGACGTGTTGGGAAAATGAGACATGGGTTGAGAAAAAACTCATTAAATTCAAGCAAGGATCCTGATCAGGGGGGCAGATCCAGGATTTGTTTTTTCTATTTTATTTTTTAACATTGGTAGATATAACGAACAGAACAGAACTAAATCATACTTGAGGAGGAGAACAAAGGTCCTGTAGAGTGTTTCCTGTTGATCAGGACTCAGAGGAACAGAAGCTGTCACCAAATTAAAAGAGATAAGACAATGAGGAGCATTTCAGAGATATACCAACCAGTGAAACATTTATATTATGAAAATGAAGCCGAACAAAATTATGTAATTTTACCAGAATGTTGTATGATAAAACATCAGTCAGTATCAAGACAAGTTAATCCATGTTGTTTGTCAATAGAGGTGAAATTAAGTTATAAATCTAGTACCTGAGACAAAAGGTGCCAGTATCATACTCCTCCAGGTCCTGGTGAAACTAGTAATCTGGAGAGAGAATTAAATACATTAAAAAAGTGACAAAATAACCTTTGTCATATTTCAGCAGTCATGGTAATAAGTGTTTCCTTACAACTTTTGGCCCATCATATGTTCAAACTAAAATGAATCAACTTCACCTCCCACAGTGTAGGCACAGCTACAACTGCCTCTAGCACCCTCTGAAGGTGGCTGATCTGAGGGGAGAAAATAAATACATGAAAGTTTTATTTCACACCTAGAAACAAACTACAGACAGATATCACAAATGTGTGAAACCTGAGTCGGATTTTATTTAAATCGAGGCTCATGAGTTCGTACCAAGTTGAAGCTGAGCAGCTTCTGAAGCAGACTGTTCCACAGCTGAGGGTCATACACCTGATACTCCAAACACAGGTCTGCCACTAAACGCACCGCCTGAAACCAGGTGGCAGAAAGTGTTATCTCTAGTTTGTCTGCATACAGCCTGTGTGATGCCAGTAACCTTTCTGAAATAGTGAATTTAAAATTGAGAAAAAAGATGTAATAGTGTTAATGTCAGACAGTACCTGTGGCTCATGACTGTGATTCTTCCACAGCCCTTTCACTAAGCCCTCTTTGGGACTACTGAGGAAAGACTGCACCGTGTAGGGGATGTTCAATGCCTCCAGTTGAGAGACAAAGATGTAGCACTTCAAGTAAAAGCTGCGTGAGACACGAAATACAGAAGTATTGATGATTATAAACCTTATTTAAATTAACTTAAGTTCATACTGATTAACAACTATCACTTTCAACTATCGTACTGGATTTTGGTCCTGGGGATCTGTAACCGAGCCTCCAGTGTATCGGCATCAACGAGACGAACGAGGCAAAGCAGCGCTCGAGTCCGATGGCAGAAGGTCAACCGAGGCCCAGAAGTACTGAGGGGCTAAAGGAGAAAATCCAAAATTAGATCGAAGCCACTTTCTCAAGAATCTATAAACGTTACTGACTCAATGTGATGTATTCCTCACCCAGGTTTCAGCAGATAGGATAGGATTTAGAAGACGGACCGCTTCATCCACGGGCAAAGAATGCAGCATGTACACCACCCTGAGGACATTTTAAAGAGCACAATAAACAGAGTGTTTGCACCTGTGGTTGTCATAAATACAGTCTCTAACTACAATAAAATGAAAAGGCGAGTGTCATTCAACAAACAGGCAACTCAGAATGGCAGTTTTATGTTGAACTGTACATAAAAAGGTACAAGGGAGTCTTAGGGCCATACTGAAGAAAAAGATATTCTGAAATTACAAGAATTAGGTTGTAATTTAACACCCCAAAATCAAAATATGAAATCTAATTTTTAGGAAATAGAAACAGAATTTAACAAGAGGCTCCACATTCATCTTTTAACACAGGCGACAAGCTGATCTTCTTATCTTCCTGTTCTAAAAATCTTAAAATACAATTTTATTCTCGTAATTGAATTTCCCCTCCTTAAAGTGACCTTTATATAGTAGTATTCAACCACTAGATGATGCAACTTAATCCCATATCATTTTCAAATCAATTCTTTGATCTCAGTGATAGTTCAATAAAACATTTTAAGATTATTTACATATCAACCCTTTTTTGATAATAATAATTCAAGAGGTATTCAGATGCTGCAAAAAACAGTAATGTCTTTACCTCATTAAGTCTGGGTCTTCCTCAATGTTGCTGACACATTCATGATTACCAATATCCTTTTTTAAAAAAAACAATTGTCAAAAATGTACAGAGCCAAATTAAATTACATTTTATAACACAAAACAAGTAGATTAGTAGGAAATGAAGAGTTAGTAAAAAGGATGAGCTAAAACTGTCAAACCTTAACAACAACAGGGCCCGTTTTGCAGATCCACTTTTCCAACATCATGTTCCGGATTTTAAGGAGATCTACGTTGTTGACTGCAGCTATTTCTTTAACCACAGTGTGGATGTCTGAGACAGAGACGAAGGATCCCATTTAAAAAAGATCCCATATTGTTGATTACCTCCTCCGAGTCACAGCATACCAAACCAATACACTGGTCTGGGTGTTGAGATCATAAGAGAATTATCTCATTGTGGAACTTTCTTTTAGCTTCTAAACTTAAGTTTACTCACCAGGATAGGTTTGACCTCCCGACTCTTTGTAGCGCAGATCCACGCTGCTGTGCTCATACAGGGCCACTATGAGCCTGGCTGGCATCCCGGTCAGTTTCAGATGCTCTGGGCTGTTCAGCTGGTTGGCAATCAATGTATTCTCAGTGGCCGAACGCTGGAACTGCAGCTTCAGCTTGGTAAGAAAGGTCTCCCCTCGGGCCCTCGCTGACTCCTGCATGGGATCCCAAGGGTAGTAGATTAAAACAAACTCATGTGTGCATAAAAACAACTCCCTAGATAGAGAATTTGAGAGTTTTCTCCAGGTGAAAAACCCATACTGACCTCAAGGTTTGGATCTTTCAGCCATGCATCCCCAAGACCCAAACAGAACCTGAGTGAATGAGCCTTCTCCTTGCCTGAAGGGAGCAGAAAACAATTCAGTGCCAATATGCAAACAAACTGAGCTGTGTAGCGTAGTGGCTGATCTGTAGGTTAGACCTGGTGGCAGTTCCTGGGTGATTTTGTGGGCAGTGGCCGCTGCCCACTCTGTACTCTGGATGCAGTGGATGTACTTCATCATGGTTTTAGCCACCTTGAAAGTCTCCTTCTTATAGCCTTGATTTTGACCTTTTTTCCTCTGCTCCAAGAGTAGAGGCTTCATCTTCTTCTCAAACACATAGTTTGCTGCCGACATGTATAACTTGTCAATGCTCACCTGGAAAGAGATAAGAAGGTATGAATAAACTCAAGCCAGTCAAACTTAATGGACAACTATTTTTAAAGACTACATTTTAGAGGAGTGTGCTGTACCTTCATCAGTTTGCTAATGAGAAGAAGAGTGGGGAAGGTCTCCTCACTGAGCTCAGGACCTTAACAGAAAAGTATTTTAGTTTCCTCGACACATCTCACTAACACATAATATTAATACATTTAAATATTAACAATAAAAATAAACATCTTGTCATCAGAGGCTTGACAAAGAAAACTGTGTTTTTCTATCTATCACCCACTTAAGGAACACAACTCTATTCTGATTTGCAGCTGGTTAAATAAATTATAAATTAAATAAGGAAGTAATTCTTATATGATGCCGGTAACCAGAGCAAAATCTAAAAAAATCATGAGAGTAATTTGAGTTTGTCAGCAATAATACTGGAGAATAAAAATAGGACTAAAGTTAGTGCTGTGTGGTTGTTTGCCTCTGCCACTCGGTCACCATGACCATTCAGTTAATCTTTGATTCCTAGTGACAACTGGACTCATAGAACTGCAATTTTAAGAGTAGTCTCCCAAGGTGTTCTTAAAATAACTTTCATGAGGTAAAAAAGGTTTTGTGAGGTCACAGTGAAATTGACCTTTGAACACAAAATTCTAATCAGGTCATCCTAGAGTCCAGTTGAATGTTTGTGCCAAATGTAATGAAATTCACTTTGGATGTTCCTGAAACATCAGGTTCACAAGAACATGAGGTCACTGTGACCTTGACCTTGATTCACCAAAATCTAATCAGTTCATCTTTGAGTCCAAGTGAATGTTTGGACCAAATTTGAAGAAATTCTCTCAAGGCCTTCATGAAATATTGTGTTCACAATGGGACAGACAGAAGGACGGACGACCCGACAACATAATGTTTCTAGCCACTAACTGTCGGCGCCGCAGAGGGATAAAAAGTAAATTTTCTGACTCACAGATGATCTTCCAGTAATGTTTGGTCTGCATCAGCAGGTGGAAGGGCAGTCTGCTGTTGGACAAGTGGTTCGGAATGAGGCAGTTTTCCAGGAGATAAGTGTTCTCCATGTCTGATGGAGGGGAGACTCGCATGTAGGATTTCAGGTGCTGAAGAAGGGCCATGGCCTGTGCATTAAAAAGATATTGTTTACAAGTCTGTGGGAGAATAACAATGAACTACTTAATGTAAAAAGTGTATTTTTTTACCTGACTTATAGAAAAGCTGGTGACATTGTCATCTGCAGCCTGTATGATCTTCAGCACTACTTCAATCCTCTCATAGTTGTAAGGGCTGAGCTGTATAAGAAAGGCATGTTGTGAATCCATACTTAAATTCTGTTTGGGACAGAACCAACAGAATTTGATATTACAACAGGTACAGTCTTGTGTTGCATCTGTTTGCCATTGTGGATAATTGTATTTAAAAACATTTTTAAATGACAATTAATTAATTACGATTGTTTCATGTTTTTACTTGAATCAGCCTCTAGGTGAAATTAATAAGATATTCAATCACAATTTAAATTTGAAAACATTTCTGTCTTTAAAAATCATTAACTCACACACTTGAGAGAATGAGAACTACTCTGAATATACCTCTTCTAATTCCACATCTTATTTGCTCAAACCTTGAAAAGGGCAGCACAGAGACTTTCAGTCAGCTTGCTGGTGCTGTGTAACATTGGGATTATCTGCAGGACTCGCTCCAGGGCATCTGAAGGACACAGAGGCTGCACCTCCATCTGGCCTGCAACTGAGTCACCAGCACCCTCCTCGTCCTCTTGGAGCAGCAGTAAGGTGGTAATGTACTGGTTGATGACACTGTCACGGTCCAAACCAAAAGTGCTGCAGATGTACGCAAGAGACTTTTAGCCAAGTCTCAACCCAAAAATAAATGTTATATTCCACATTGCAATAAACTGAAAATTTGACAATGCAGAATGAGCTGCTGACCTGCAGTACTGGAGAATAATGTCTGGAGTGATTCTCTTGTTCTTCACCAGGACTGGGATCAGACTACTCTTCATCTCAGGCCGCTGACGGAACACTGGCTGGATGGAAATCTGCAGGAGAGCAGGGGTACACATATTAATGTTAAGACATGTAGAAGAGACAGCCACTTGTGAAATTCAAAATATATTGACACTAATTCTATGGAAACATTAATTCTGATCAGACTGCCCTTGGCCAAAAAGTTAGATTACCTCTAATTTTCCAAGCTTGATGCCCCAGTCAGCATCAGTGATGACAGAAAGAAACTTCTCTTGTTCCTCTGGCTCATTGTACAAACAGCAGAGATTGGCTCCGATTCTTGCCACAGCCTGAAATAATCAAGACAGACTCACTGATTAGATTTGCTAACTATAACAAGGATGGAGAACGTACACATGCACGTTTATGTATAAATACTTTGTTTAAACAAACTGCTTTATGTTGGGTCATGACTAATAATTCTCACTAAATATGGTATACAACATTTACAACCTTTTGTGATTGTGGAAACAAATTATTATCCATCGACTAATTCGGGAAATCTCTCTCTGTCTGTGGATTGTTTATCTTGAGGTCCATTAATCTTATCACCTTCTCACTGAGCAGCTTCGGGGTTCTGTGGACTGAGTGCTGCAGAAAGGCTTTATCTTCCGCAGCTCAATAACTGCAGGTCACTTTTACTGTTTCAGAAAGATAACTGCAACCAGCCAGACAGATTTACAGGGGGCAATGCTCCTTCAAATCCATACAATAGCTGCTTACTCGCGTTTCCAAGCATTAACTAATTTCTCTGGTTCCCACATGGTTCCGAAACCTTCTATCAAGAAATGGAAATTAAAGTTGTGAACAGTGAGCATATTGCCTACCAGGATTTTGTCATAGTTTTGCCAGGTGTTGTCAATAACCTTCCACAGTGTTTTGAAGACTTCTGCTTTGGATAGGAGCGTACAGAGGCCAATGGCCAGATCACAATCGACCACTCTCCAGTTAAACACCTGCGGCACAAAGAAAATACAGATAGAGTTGTTTAAAAATACACAAACATTCTGTGAATATGCTCTCATGACTCTGGAAAAGAACACACCTTGTTCAAAAGAGCCACAGCCACGGCATTTAGTGAGGATGTGGTTGACTTTTGGAGATCATTCAGGCATATATTGTACTTCTTAAGCTCTTTGGTATCATAAAGCTGAAAAACAAACATTGGATTTTGATTGATAGTTATAATGAGGATATATAGCACCGGCATTCATAGTACCACTGGACATGTTGCAGTCATACCTGCATGCTTAGCTTTATGTCCATAACATTGGAGGTGACGTGCTGCAGGCAGCTGCCATACGAGTTGACCAGCACTCTGAGAGCCAGCTCCAGCTGACTGCACTCCTGCAACATCTGTAACATGTTGGCTAGAGGACCCAGGAGGGGCCGCAGGTAGTTTGAACCTACATGTGGGACCAGACAAGACACAAGGTAAACAAACAAAACTACAACGTTAAGAAGAAAGAAATGGAAGAATCCATTTGAATGCCTACCATCTTCAAATGAGCAGTGGGAAAGACAGGAACAGTCCAGTGGGTGAAGTTTGGCATCTACAAGAATGGGAAGCAACTGATTAAACCAACCACTCAGTGCCTGAGTGATGATATCCTAACAAGGATATTAAATAGATGATACATTTAAGCATCTTCTTACCCCAAGATACCGGCAGCAGGCAGTTAGTAATTTCATACTGGACAGGGAGCACTGACACTGGGTCCAGAACAATGCAGTCTTCATTAAAAACGTCTTGGAAACTCCATTGAGAATGTGGATCTTTTTCTGCCTCCAAGGTCAAATCCTGTGATATGACACAGTTGAAATACAAAGTCAGCTGTTTTTTGGCAGAGCACCATTAATTTTATGTACTTATATTAAATTATTTTCTCTCTTATTTCTTTTATTGGACAAACATGTGACTTTTAAAATATGTATATTATATCCCAAGTCTTACTGTGAATGCAGAAACTACACCTTGAAATCCAATAAACAATTGACCAATTAGAGTAAATAAGTAAAACATGATGGCTGATTGAAATGTTTGCAGACAAAGACTGAAGTATGCATAGACCAAAATAAATACAACCAAACTGAAATAAATTAAAAGCAAATTTAAGTGTTTTTCTTTAGGAAAAGACAATATACTGACCTTTGCTATAAAACCATAGTTGTCTGATAACTGACACTGATGATAGACATCCATGGCTATCCGTGTGCACTTGCAAAGCTCCAGACAGTCCAGGAGCAAATCTGGAAGAGTGATTATATTTATGTATTTTGAAACTGAAGCAGTTTTTACTGTACACGATTAAACCAACACCTTAAAAATCTAAGCACCATCACGCAGTGATATCCGCAGGCATGAACACACGCAGCCACACGCACAGCGAGAACATTATTGTTATGTGTTCTTTACCTGAATGGCACACAGTGATGGCCTGACAGGCCAGATCATGGATGACTGCTGGCAAGTCTGTGTTATCAGGAAGCACCATTGGCACATCTGCTTCAAGCATCTGACATAATGTCTTGGCAGCAGTGAACAAAACTTTCCCTGTGCTGGTGTTACAGTGGTGTTCATACAGCTCACTGTAGACACAACGGAAAAAGAAAAAAAAACTTTAAATTCTCCAAATACATTGCAACACTTTAAATATTGAATCAAAGTACCAATAATTTTAGAGAGAACACATCGGTGGAAAGATTACTAGCACTAACAGTTTACCATCGCTGCATTCATACGTCCAAACCTGAGGATCTTGAGGGCCTTGTCCACCTTTCCCACTCTTAACGCTCGGAGGGCCAAGTCAGACCAGAGCTCCTGTTCAGTGCGCTGCAGCTGTCTTCCTAGACGACGTAATCCAGCTTCTGTGGATATCGTCTTGGTTTTCCCATCTGGATCGTTAGCCACAACCGGAGTTGTCATAGATTTGCCCTTAGATGAACGGCGACCACGTGTGTTTTCATAGGCTGTGATATGATGGTCCTGGATCTGTTTTCTCATGTCTGGATCCTCATAGTTAGATGGTGTGAAGAAAACATCAAAGTCCTCCTGATGAAGAAATAGACAAAAAAGACTGCAGGTTAAACATAAAATCATAGAACAGATAGAATAACATTTTAAAAGCATTGCTTAACAGAAGGTCACCTGTAGGTTGGCGATCGCCTTGAACATGATGAGGTTGTTCTCACACTCCATGCTTTTAAGAGCATCATCTGCAGAGGACATGAAAAGGATGTTCAGACACTTATTTCCCTCATTTTTGTCTGTGAGCTGCCTTCAGACAGTCATTGCTGTCTTTATATCATTACAGATGAAAGAAATACAAAAAGTGCTTTAAAAATCTGTGATGTTTTACTGCTCCAGATGGCAAAAAAACAGGTAAACGAGGTATAATGAATGTATCGGATGTAATGACTTGGTTTCAAAATTTGAGGTGATGTGCTCCCTATGTCACCCTGCTGTTCATGTTTTAGAATTGAGTTGAGTGAAGACTTACGTTTTTGGATGATGTGCAGGTATTTCAGAGCCTCCACCATCACCTGAGCTATGACCATCTTATGCTTCTTATGCTGTTAAGGCAAGGCCAGAATGAAAACTATAGTCACCATAATGATGTTCTACTTTTTATGTTCACATCTTGAGGTGATAATTTCAAGTATGATCTACTTCCAGACATATTTTGCGCCATTTATGTAAACATGGGATCACATGGGTTTGTTTTAATAGATACGCAGGAAAAATCCTGGGACATGAGATCAGATATCTGTGAGCGAGATGCAACACTGAAGTAACATTTGCTGCTAAGCAAGAAAAACCTTAACCCTAACCCTTTAGTTTTATAAAGCAGCTTAAAAAAAGTATCAATCAAACATTTTTAATATTGAATCTACAAAATTGAGCCTTGGATACATCTACTTAAAATCTCACCTCGTCAGATATGTGGGCTTTGTCCTCCAGCTGCAGCCGAGCCCAGGATGTGAGACGCTCAAACACAATTTCTGCCTCTGCAGACGCCAGCCTCTTCAGGACCGTCATGCATTCCTCAGTCTGAAGGCAGAAGAAAAAAATTAAAAATTGAAATTCCTACAAACATGCCAAGAAGGAATATAAAGATACAAAATAAACAATTTTGTGATTTCATTTTCCCACACAGATCAGCATACCTTGCCTTGACCAATCAGCTGGATGAGATACAAATAATTTATCTGGGAGGTTGGAAGTTTGTACGCCTCTGCAAGTGTCAGGGAGTCTTCTAAAGACATTGGCAAGTCTTGCTTCAGGATGTATCTAATCAGTGTCTGAGGAAGATATATAAGAATCAGAAAATGTATAGTCAGGTATAACAGAAGTCACATGTCTAATAATTAATTAAATCAAACATACCAAAATTTGAGTGTTGTTAGACAAGTTGAAGTTACGGATCCCATAGCCACGGAGAAGTTTCCTTATCTCCATCAGACGGTAGCTCTCCTTGAGAAGCTCTTGTCTGGAGAATAAAGCAGATGGAGGAAGATCATATAAATATATGAATAACATCTATAAATACATGCTAGTTCATCTTGTCACATCAAAATGTAAGGTGAAAAAAAAAAAAACATACTTTGGTCCATCCATCTCAAGGTACTGCTGAACCAGTTTTTCCACCACATTACTCCAGGGTACGACAGCTTTCTGCATGATCTCCAGCACAGCATCCACCATCAGCTGACAGGAAATACAATAATGTGAGATTTGAAATGTAACTGTTTTTCTCCATCTTATTTACTGGCTCTTCTGCTGCTGTTGAGGCAGATTTCGGTTCAACTGAAGTACCTGCGCTCATGAACCTTGAGCATGTTGTGAACTGTGTTGTATGTGAAGTGTTGCTGAGAAACCTACGTCAGTATCTGTCATGCAGCCAAGTACAGCCACTGCTTTAGCTTCCCACTCTGTGAAAAGTGTCGTGGTCTGAGAACTGCAGCGCTCCAGCAGATCCTAGTAAAGATGAGATTGAGAGGGAATAACAGGTGTCATCGCACACTAGGAAAACAGTTTTTTAAATCCCCCGTAGGTCAGGCTGTGGCAGAGGTTTACCTTGATATACTGCAGAAGTAGCTCATCAAAAGGAATGTCATGCTCTTCAGCATAGGGCAGGATGCTGTTTTCCACTGTGGCAGCGATCAGCTCTGGAGCCAACACTTTGTCCAGCATGAAGAATGCGACGCTCCGTACACTTCCCTTTCAAATTCACAAAAGGAGAAAAATGTCATAAGTAATTAAAATGTACTAAGAATATGTCTCTATTTACATTTGTGAAAACTGAACATTTTGCTAAATGATGTGATTTATGGCGACAAGGTTGCAATGTATTTAGCAATTTTGTTTCCTTGATGAAACAACATGGTAAAAATCCATGATACAATTTGATACCTCTAATCAGACGTTAGAGCTGTGGGCTGTCACTTTATTCAAATATCAAGTTTGACCGAATTTGAATGCCTTTGAATATGTTCAACATATCAAAATGATAGTGAGCGCCCTCTGCTGGATTATAAGGCAAACTACTACAGATTATTTACTTGCTTCGCTTTCATTGCTATTTTAGCCACTTTTCTAAGTTTTGCTTAAATATTTAATTGAAGCACAGGTGTAATTTGATTACATCACTAATAAAAGACACACCTTCTCAAAGACGGAAAGTGAAAGTCTGCAGCTGTATTTGCGGTGAAGGTCCAGCAGCCGATGAAGGTTCGACACCAGAGACTTGAGATTCTCGATCTCCTCTGCACCGTAATTATCATCCTGATAAAAAAAAAAGAAAGAAAAGAAACAATTTGAGTCTTGCCCTTTCAGTTACATATATTCTCACAGGTAGATCATAACTGAGTGCACACCGTCATTCAAAGCACAGACAGGAAATGTGGCCAACTTACAGATTTCATCCATGTCCATAAAGAGGGCAGTCCAAGCACTGCCAAGTCAAACCCATTCTGTGGCCAAGCTCCCTGGAAAAACAAGTTGCATTTATCATTGTTGTTCAAACTAAGGTGACCAACTCAAAGGTTTTACTAGTTGAAAAAAATAAAGTAATCTAGAAAGATGATTTGAACAACTGATCAACAGCATGTTTCCCTACTTCACTAATTATTATTAGCATTGCTTTTCTCTACTCATCTAAATCAACGTGGATAATGTCCGCTGGTTTTTCATTTTACCTTTTCTGTCAGCTCCAGATTCCTCGCCCTCTGCTCTAGCCATCTTGCCAGGATTCTCTATGATAAAGACAAAACTTTTAGTAGTGAAAACATAAGAGCACATGGTGAGGATAAAAGTACTTTATGCTTGAAGGAATGTATCGTACTTGTCCTGTTGGGAGAACTCTCCTCACAAAGGGAACAAAAACTGTCCTAAACCATGGACAGAGATCTTGGGACTTCACGTCCTCTGGGATGGCACTGAGCACAGCTTCAAGCTGGCACTCATCAAACTCCAATCCAACCTGACCCTGTCAAAAAACACAACAGTAAACAACATCACAACAGACAGAAGACGACAATGTTGAAGAAATCAGCTTTGCTTGTTTGGCCATTTTTATTGATGTATGGATCGAATTAATGCATCACCATTATTGCTGTAGTGTATATACACAAAAATGATAATGGGAAACTTTGAACAGTCCTTTTGATGATTTCGTTATTTATTACCTCATATCTGAGCCAAAGGAGCTGAGCACCCTTCATGTCTCCTTCTCTTAGGTGCGTCAGAATGTCTCCTAAAATGTCGGTGCTGTTCAGAAACTCGATCCAGGCAATGCCACTATGGGTGACAGAGAAACATACAGAGGTCACAAATGAATGTGCATAAATGGAAAAACTGCATTATGGAAATTTTTTACTGTGTAACAAATGGTAATTGGAATACTTTTCACCCATTCACATGACGCTTCTATATGCAGGACTTTTTCTATCCCACATCATTCACACACTGCTGACACAGACAAGGCCCAATTCAGGGTTAAGTGTCTTTCCCAAGGGGGTTGCGCCACCCTCTTTAGTGGACAACCCGCTCTACCTCCTGAGCCACAGCCACCCAAAAACAAACTCTTGGCCACTGAACCTACTTGAAATTTTCCAGGCTGTAGAGGCTACAGAACGTTGCCAGTCTGGCCAAGGCCTCTTGGATCTGTAAAGACGAATATCGAGTGGCAGCGTGGTTTAGCATCTTCTCTGCTGTGTCAAAGGTTGGCCATGGTGCTTTGAGGCAGTATTCCACCACATACTGCTCATCCTAGGTAGCAGAAAAAAACAACATCTATTTAGAAGCAGGTTGATACTTGGTACTGGTTAAATTTTTTGTATAATCAACACAGTGGAACAGGAAAGGGAGATTAGATAAAATACTGAGACGGCTCCAATCTGTGACACTTACTGTGATCTTCATCAGGTTGGTTTTGGCCTCATCCACAAGATCAGACCACACATCTTGTCCATATCCACCCACTGATGCAGAGGCCAGCTGCTCCAGCACAAAGTCAAGCTTCACCTTATAAACAAGCTGAACAAAAACAGGATGTTAGCTGTATGCAGCCCAGGTTAGGCTTGGAAATGACAACAACTGCATCTCCACTCTGCAATATTAAAGTATATTTCTACTTTAAAAGCCCACTTCTTTGGTCAAATAGCAACTATGTTACTCTTATGAACACTGAGGCCTGAGAACAGACACACATACCTCTAAATCGAGCTCAAATGTGATGGCAAACTTCTCAGCCTCTTCAAACATGTGTTTGTGAAGAAGTCTGCTAAGTCTAGGAACAGTAGAAAAGTCAAGAAGGTCAGATCACATCAGAACTGAAGCAATGTTTGTGTATGTGTCTATGTAGTATAATTAGATACCTGTTTTCAGGCAACGCCTCTGTGAAGCATCTGACAACAACAGAGGATATATTCTCTCCTCCACTACTTAAACAAGAAAAAAAAACAATAGATGATTTTAAAACATTTACCTTTACATGTTAGTTGTGACTTAACTTCAAACGAATCACACAAGACGTTTCCTACCTTTCTGGGTCCTGACAAATCCCCTCAACTAAATAAATTGTGTCCTGAAATCAGACAACAAAGCTATTGAATCAAATGAGCAGCGATTTCAACACAAAGAAATAACACAAGCAAAATTCATACATATCATAATTCAATTATGTTTTTTCACCTACCATGTTTATCTTTGTCTGGACAAGACAAGAGACGGAGGAGACATCCAGAGAGTAGCAAATCGTCATGGAGGGCAGAAGTCGAATTTGTAGTGAGTTGATCTAAAAAAAATTAAAAACCAACAGATCAAGTTCAGAGTAGGTTATAAGACAATATTTAAACGATTTATTAAACTTTCTTAAAAAGGAGTTGTACTGATACCTGACTGCTGTCTTGCTTTGTCAGTGCGATCATCTTCATGCTGCCCTTGTCTTGGCTGTTACACAAACATAGTGATTTACTTCTTTTAGCGTTGTTTAAAAGGAGGCACTGCCCTCTGTATAATATTAACAGCAACAGTATGTATTAAACACTGATACATACGCCACCATAGAAGCAGAGCCACATTCAGTGGTGAGTTCAAAGTCGTGAATGACAAGATCAGGCCAACAATGAATCATGACGAGGAAATGCAGGTCCCAGAGACTCAGGACGTCCTGAGACCAAAGAAAAATATTAGGAAATCTATATGTAAACTTCAAATACTTTCTGATTGAATAACATGAACTGGTATATCAAACAATAACATTGAGATACCACTGAACTCACCTCAGTGTCAAGGAGATACAAGAGATTTTCCACCACCACCATTTTTCTCACACCTTTAAAATATAAAGAGAACATTTATGCATCATAACTCTGGCATTTTACTTTATATTTGTTATAAAACAGTTTCTTTCTCTTTCTTACTTCTTTTTCGAACCTGACACTTGAAATTATACCATACATGTAAAAAAACTGAGCCCACACATTCATCATTTGTTGATTAATGAAGAGAAATGTTGATAATATTATTATAATAAATACTCAGTGTCTCACAAAGTGAAACATTAAAACTCTGTAGCCACAGTATTTACTGAAGGTTACCTGGAATTAAGTTACTGTTGACGGATTGAGCAAGACTCATCTTGGCCTGATGAGGGTCCATCATCCAGTGAGTCACGACATTTTCCTTATCCCCCTTTGAAGATAATAATGTTACTACTTTATGTAAGACGTAAATACCATTCCTAGACAGGTTTTAAACAAAGGTGAGCACTGCAACAGACTTAAGTCCAATATGAAGTGCAGCTAAAATAAAGTGAGAAATAATTTGTAGTATCATAGTTCATAGAAGACTTTGTTAAATGTGTTCCTTTAAACATGCTTTCATTGACATGTACCCAACATATAGTAACCAACATACAACTGCAGGCTGTAAATAAATAATTAAAACACTGACCCCAATCAGTAAGTGGATTTCATTGCCCACATTATACATCACTGCAGTACTACAGCCCTCATCGTGGTAATCCTCAGTGGAGCAGAAGTCTATCTTGATGAGAGACTGAAGCTGCATAAAGGGAAAAAGTGATTATGTATGTTCTGTTCAAAAAGAAATTAACAGTTATATAAAAAAGAAGACTGTCATAACTTACCTCTTTCAAAGCTCCCAAATCCATTTTTTCAATGGCTAAGTTGGCAAAAGAAAAATACAAATTTAATTAGGTAAAAAACAGGTCACTCCAAGAAAACTAAGTTGACTGCACCTAATATTTTTATACCTGTCTCGATCTTTGCCAAAGCAAGGTTTGTGATGTGGAAAAACCCATCCTTAATGAGAAGGAAAACATGGTACATCCCTGCCAACCAGAAAAAAAACTGTTCACAACTCAAATCAAATACTGTACAACAGCTAGAGAATGAATTCAAATTCAATATTTCTCATATCCATTCATATAATTCACCTGACGATGCTTTGTCCTCTTCTATGATGAGATAGCGATATGTTTTCTTATCTCCACTGGATGGTTTCTCTACCAAAGCCTACAAAATCACAAAAAGGACACAACATAAGTATAAAATAACCTTAGAAATATATACCAGGGCTGTTACTGCTGTGGCCATCCTGTACAATTGAGTATTGTACTTTAAGCCTTGAAGGTGAAATCAGATAGAATGGGCATATAACAATATAAGGTCAGACACTGTGTAATCTTAGTGGGACATATAGATATTAAAAAACCTTCATACCCTGGTGAGAAGAATTCTCTTTTGGGGAACATAGATCAAATGAAGATTTCCATTTCTTTCACAGACCACAAGAAACTGTCCTTCCAGACACGCATCAATAGCGTCCACATCAGTTTCTGAAAAATAAATTAAACAGTAATTACTGTGAGATGTCACATTTTGCATTGCTGGAAAGACATGCTGATGTCTGGCATGTGACTGAACAACTAGACCCCCATTTCACTGGATTTTTGGTTTTAGATGTTTTCTTTCAGGAAGTGTATGAAATTCAGGACAAATATAGTCATGCATTTACCAAGAGTGTTGGATGAAATTGTAGTAAAAATATTTAGATTTCACTTTCTGCCAGGGACCCCTTGGTATTTCTCAGACCCTTCTCCCTTTGAGAGCCCCTGGTTTCACTGTCATCTGAGAAGTAACTCAAGCTTCCAGACATATGTAATGTAGTAAAAGCTAGAATAATTCCTTATGTGGTAGTGACGTAAAGGGAGAAAGCAGCATAAATTGTCAACACTGATGTACATCTGTCAAAACAGAGTAGAATGCAGAAAGGGGTGTGAGCATGAAATAAATGATGTGTACCAAAGTGAAGCAGCAACAGGATGGTCTGATAACTCTGGTCAAACAGGATGACAGTCTTATCAGCAACAACGATGCTCCAGTTTGAACCACTGGAGGAGGAGAGGCAGGGATCCGTCTGCACCTGCAGGAGGGAGCATGTTCACCCATGTGTCACCGGTCAGTGCTTTATGATGACAGACTGCACTAGTGGAGTACAGATCGTGTTGATGTGGTTAGGAGACGTTACCTCGTTGGCAGTGGAGATCTTGACCAGTGTGTCCACCTGATACAAGCCGCTGCCACTCTCCTCCCGGGACACGCTCCCCAAGCACCGCACCGTGCTCGTGTCCTCGCTGGTGAGAAGCTCAACGTCGCCCCACGTCGCCATTCTGAACTTCACCTGACGTGGAAGAAAACGAAATCGTTACTTAATCTGGTGTTTAAAAAACTTCAGTGTGACCTGGGATGCTACATTGACAGGGCTAGCTAAGCTAGCCTCTAGTGTGTCGATTCAATGTTATGATAACGCTAATGCTAGCGGTTTGAGAGTTAAGTACAAAGCTACAGCTTTAAAGAAAGACTGTTGCTATCTCCGGGAAACGGTTCATATGCGGGTTAACGTGTAGGAACAGTTTACAGTGACTCACCGTGAACACTCAGACAAAAGTGACAGAAACAATCCTCATAACTCCACTCTGTTAGCTTTGTAATTTGGCGGGTCGTTGTGGATCCGAGGTAGATGTTTTCCCTCAGTGTTGTCTTGCAGCTGCAGCTTCCGTCGCAGGCTTCGTAGGCGGTGCGTCTTTTTCGTAGGGACAGACAGAAGTAAACTCCAAGTGAAGCCCTGCTACTTTGATAGTATCGATCTTTGATTTGAATCTGATCTATATTGTCGATGCGACATGTTTTGGCTGTACACAGTTTATAAATAATGTTGCCTGACAAGCAAAAATAAGGGAATATGCCTCCTCGCCCCACACAGAGGGGGCGGGTTGTTTCAGAAATTTCTCGTGGCGTTGCCAGGTTGGATACCTTTCCGTCTGTTGCGATGTTTTCTATGTGTTTCTAACAGTTACTGTTCTTTCCTTCACCAACAATTAATATTTTTTTTAATAACTGAACCAACTTCAGTAATTAACGAGGCACTGGGTTAAGACGAAAGAAATACCATCATAATTCATGAATCTAGTTTATCGACCTTGTAAAACTCAGCTCCCACAGTGGTACAGATGTAACATCCTATTTCCTGTAGATATTATCTAACTACACACAAATGAACTGACTTCATTGAAACAGAAGAATCTTCGTTTATTTATGATTAAGAATTCCCTCTGCTTCTTGTTTGCTCCCCTGCTAAACCTGGCAACCCAAAGTCAAATTAGCTGAGCCACACATCGCAGTTAGCTGCTAGCTGTAGCTACCTCTCCGTGTCCGTGTGCACATTCAACCAAGCAGCGGCGTCACATACACGGTGCGCTTCAGAATTCGGAATGTCGGTAAGTACCACCACACGAACACAAACAAGATACACACGAATGTGATTACATCCGAACAGCGCTACTGTAAGTTTACATCGATGTTAAAAAATATTTATCACTTAAAGATGGCGGCTAGCATCAGCTAGCTTGGCAGCCAAGCTAAGGCTAAATTGTTCTGTGTTGGAAGTATGAATGGTGGACGAAGAAGTAGCTTATCTGGCTAGCTCGTTTGCTAACACTGCATGTATGTTGTTCGAAGGCATCTTTAATTGTCTTGAATGTATTTCTCTTTGAGTCATGATACTTAATCCACCGTAAACCGTAATTCGATGTAGCGCAGTGAAGATGAACCTGCAGCAGCCTCTTTACATTGTGAAGACCCTTGTTGTATCATAACCACGCAATCGTAACAAATTGTTTGGTTTAAGTCAATAATACGTTTATAAACAAGTATTCAACGATTTGACATAATTCTCACATGGTTTTCATTGAGCTGAAGAGAACTGATCGTCACTAGGCCTAGCGACAGACAACAAACACTATGCGACATGTAAATACAACCATATAAAATCAATAAACGCACAATTACTCTTCATCCCTGCAGCCCATCCTTATTCAAACCATCTTAATTTGATTAGTCTTGAATTTCAGTTTGCTGATGAGTGGTCACAATGGGCAGAGGGGTGTGTTGATAGGATCCCCTCAAATTCAATCAGCTGCACCAGATTTCATGCACTCATAGATCTCATTTCCCAAAAGATTATTTTCTTAGATCAAGATCCATGAATTATTCTCTGGACAAAGAGTGAAACATTTAAAAACGCACCCATGTGTTTTATGCGAAATCTTGCATACAAACATACAACCCAACAAACCACCAGATTAGGTGAAAACATAATTTCTTTGGCAGAGGCAATGAGCAGATTTATAGTATCATTGTTTTGTAAATGAACTACTAATTTCTGAAACAGATTCTTATCAGAGACTAATCAACTTATTTCAGTACTAGTGATTATTTAATTTATTCAGTGATGTTGAAGTACATGTTTACTTATCGTCTTGATTCAACAACAATAGAAATCCTGCTGACGTCCACGCTGCCTTTGGGAGTGTATACAATTAGGACGTCACTGACCATATTGCATTACACTGATTTGCTGCTAATGGTTTTTCTCACATACATTTGTTGTAGGCCAGTGATGACTCTGTCGACATGACCAGAACAGGCTCCCCTGTTCACCACAGAAAAAAACACAGCATGGAGTCATCAAGATCTCCTAGAAGCTCCAAACACCACCATTCGCGGTCAAGGTCACGGTCCAGGGACCGAAAACGTTAGTATTCAGTAACAGTATCTAGACAATACCGAAAAAGCAGAAAAATGTGGTCCCCATGATGGCATTTGTTCGTAGTATATGCCTTCGTGAGGTGTAACATTTGAAAGTTTGGAAAGAAGATGAACCCCTTGCTGTTGCCACGAAAATGAAAGCACACCAATATTTGTGATGTGGTTGTTTTATTATCATGCAGCTAAATTAACATGTTGCACTATGATCACTACAATTACTTAGAAAAATCTGTTCTCTTACATTCTTTATGAATAAAGTGCACATTTAATAAATTCACAGGATTTGTCAACAGTCTGCTTTTTACCTTTTTTAGGTGACAGAAAATACAGACGGAGTCGCAGCAGGAGCAAAGAGGTAAATGTTAAGTCAATATCTATGATTAGAAAGATATTTGATGTGAATTTGAAGGCCATAGGTTTTAGCCCTTGTTAGTTTTAGGTCAAGGTGAGTATGTTTTTATTATGGTGGATCTGTTAAAATAACCAAATTTCAGAACAAAAGAAATAGATGGTTATGGACTTACTTACAGGGAAAGGGTCTTTTTTTTACCCTCCTTATGCAGACATATCTCAATGGAAGCTTTCATCCTTGGATATGTGTCATTATTTGTAGCCATATTAAAGAAAGAGTAGCTTTTTTTTTCTTTTCTTTTTTTGTGACATCCTGTGTGTAGATCACATGATAACATTTCTACAATAAATCATACTCAGCGTGCTAATGCACGAAGAGACTGAACAGAAGACCCTGCTGACATAGCAAAATAATATGTCTACTACTGGGACAGGTAACTATCTGCCATTCAAACTCCTATTTGTCTCACACTATTTGGAATTAACTCTTGCATCTAGGGATGGGCATAACTAATATATTGAATTCAGATGGAATCTTTTTTAAACCATAGCCAATGTAAAAAATTCAGTTTTGTTAAAACTAATTTGTCTTATAAAGAGAACAGTAACAGCTATTTATCTCTTGGGAACATAGTCTAAATTATTTTCACATGAGATAAACACTGTGATTCTGCCTTTAAGTTAATTTGACATAAGTAGAATAAACCTGGAAATAAATGCATATTTTTATTTGAGGAAGTTTACCAATGTGTTTCATGCTAATTTATTATTGTGTGATTTGGATGATGTTTAGTAGAGAAGCTGTAAAAAGTAAGATGCCCATCCCTATTCCCACTTTATAGTAGGTTCAAGTTGAAAGTATTTAGGCCACATTGAATTGTTTATCTGGTTCAACTGACAAACTACAGTGAAGTCTTTCCCTATGAATCAGATCTTAAGGTTTGCATGCTCACTATTGAAAGAAGTGAGGTTCCAAACATGCTGGTTTGATTAATTCTCTTTAATTATGTTTGTCAAATTTTTCTGTATCACTGAAATGTCCACAGTTGTAATCATGTCCTGGGAATTATTTTTTTTATATGTTAAGAAATTGGATTTGACATCATAAGGTTTTTTTTCAGCACTTCAACATTTATACCTTCTGCTGTAGCCATGGTACTAACTCTTTTTGTTGCATTTCCTGAAAGAGACAACTTCTTCTTAAAACAGGCACGAAAGAGAGACTCCGAGAAGCCGTCAAAATCGCACAGAAAAACAGATGAGCAGCAAGAACAAGAGAGACTGTCAGCAGAGAATGGAGAGGAGCGTTCCAGACGCAAAGACAGGAGGCCCTCCAAAGGCCGGAGCATGTCCAGGTCGCACTCACGAGAGAGGTTAGTGTGGTCAGTGAGTAAGTAAGTCTTTTGACTTATTAAATGATGCAAGAGAAAACGGTTTTATCATGGTTCTGGTAGTATTTAATAGATAAAATAATAGTAACACGAAATCCTTTACGTGATTTATTTAATTAAAGATGATGAATCTTTTTACTTTCAGACGGCATCACAGTAGAAGTAGGGACAAGCGGCGGTCACGATCACGCAGCCGGGACAGGAAGAAGAAGGCACGGTCTCGCTCAGGTTCAAGGACCAAACATCGTCATCACAGTAGAAGTCGCAGTAAGAGCAGGTGGGTTTGATTTAAATTAGGAGAATGTGTTTGAACTTTCGTCCTCCCTGTAGACCATTCAACATGACATGAACAGAATGTTGATTGAATTATTTGGGTTGTTCCACCAGGGAGCGAAAGAAAAGGACTGAAAAAGTGCGCAGAAAGAGTCGAAGCAGGTCTGTTAACCCACCGCTCTTGCGGGGCAGAAACACAGCTATGGATGCACAAGAGGCCCTGGCCAGAAGGTAAGGCAACAGCTTACAGGGCATTTACAATATAGATGACTGGTCATTCTGAACTGGCTGATGGTGGTTCCTGTTGCAACTCACTAATTGTGGCTGCAAAGCTTCTTTCTGTAGTTTGATTACACCTTGACCTTTTTAAGAAATTTGTGACCCAACAGAGATTAGGTTGCATTAATGGAACCAAAAAAAAAACTAAACGTAAAGCTCATTGTCATCAGCAACAATCAAAGCATTCATTCTTCAAGTTACTCAAATAAGTTTGTGACCGCTGGTTGTGGTTGTAATCAGACTTGTCATCTATGTTGCACATGCCAGAGAGCATTGTTGTTCATAAAAGGAAATTACATTGGAAGGAAAACAAGAAAAAAAAAAAGAAGAAGATTGGCGACATAGGTGTCTTAAGACACAGACCATGTAATTTCAACATCCACAATTTGTCTCTGGCCGGGGAACTCTGTTGCACGTTGCCCTGGGGACATTGCTCCTCTCTCTCTCTCTCTCTCTCTCTCTCTCTCTCTCTCCCTCTCTCCCCTCACCTCATTTAAATTCTTAACTGTACCTTGTTGAATAAAAACGTATTATTTAAATGTGATGTCTATAGCATGTTTGAGTATGATTTTTGTTTTGTTTGTTTGTTTGAAGACTAGGTCCACACATACCACTTTTAAGTTCAATATACTGAGCATATTATTATTATTATCATAATGATTTGTAAACAAGCTGCGTAACATTATTTTCGTTATTTTATTTTCCAGGCTGGAGCGAGCCAAGAAACTACAGGAGCAAAAGGAGAAGGAAATGATTGAGAAGCAGCAGCAGCAACAGCAGGACATCACTGCAGGTGAGAAGGGCATGTTGTGTTGATTAACCTTGAAATTTAGAATTTAGTCTGCATTCAGGTATTGATTGCCTCCATGTGTTTTGTCTCCAGTAGCTGCGCCTATAGCAGCAGCTGCTGCAGCTGCTTCAAACCCTGCCCTCAATGTGGCGGCTCTCCTGGCCTCTGGGACACAGGTCACACCACAGATTGCCATGGCGGCTCAGATGGCAGCCCTACAGGCAAAAACTCTGGCAGAGACTGGTATTGCTGTGCCGAGCTACTACAACCCATCTGCTGTAAATCCCATGAAGTTTGCAGAGCAGGAGAAAAAGAGAAAGATGCTATGGCAGGGAAAGAAGGAGGGGGTAAGACTTGATTTTGCTGTCAATTATCCAGTTTTGCCTCCTCAAGTTGTCTGAGCTGGCAAAAACTCTAGAAACTGATGTATTTTTTTATCTTTAAGGACAAGTCCCAGACGACTGAGCTGTGGGAGAAGCTAAACTTTGGAAACAAGGACCAAAATGTTAAATTTCGCAAACTTATGGGTATTAAAGTAAGTATTACAATGTCACTTTACTTAATCTCAGTGTTTTTGATACATCAATGAAGTTCTAACTTTCAGCATTCCAATGGGTTACATCTGAGTTAAATAGAAGTTGCTGTCTCTGCAGGGAGAGGATGAGGCTGAAGTTTCCAAACCACTCAACGATGACGGCTTGAAGACTCTGCAAAAACAGGAAGAGATGTTCCGGAACCTTGACGTTCAATATGAAATGGCCCGGTCTCAGACACACACCCAGAGGGGAATGGGCCTCGGCTTTACGTCCTCATTCTCACGTGGAATGGATTCTATCTAGTGCCAAACCTAGACTGTCAGTGTTGCTCATCTGGTCATGTAGGACTGCCAATTCATCGCTAGCTTTAAGGCTTGCATGGATGTTGCTCTGAATCTGTAATTTATTTATGGACAAACATCTCCGTTATTGGAACATTATTAAAATGTAAATAGCCAGACGCTGAGTTTGTCTCAGTGATGATTCATCTGTACATCTTCTGTAAAGGAAGCATCAGTCTGACTCACTGATGCTAGTTAGAATTAGATTTTTGTTTTGAATGATGTATTAGTTTTTTGTTTTTTAACTGAAATATATTGATATGTGATTGTTGGAACAAAAACTGATTATAATGTGGTTTAAGTGAAAACAATTTATATCCACTTAGCAAAATGCTACTGAGGTCGGTGTCATTACCAGAATGGATTAATTTCTACGGACTGGGAAAAACTTAACTGGGCTGTGGTACACATTTGTCTCAAGACTGCCACTGATGGAGAAAGGTCCAAGAAGAGTAATCACATTTCCGATATTCTTGAAATAAATTAGTTTTGTGTTGAGTAAGGCTTTTCATACCTCACCTCATTACTTTATTTATTGCCTGTGATATGTATGTGGGTAATTACATTTTTGGTTTATATTAGGTTGGTGCTTTTGCAAGGGCTTGGCCTTAAGGATAATATTTTTTTTCTAGTATCACATTCTGTCACAGTTTCCAAATCATTGGAATCAAATTGGTGTTAAGTGTTTGTATTAATTTAAATTTAGTAGAATGAAATAATACTAAAATATGTTTTCATTTAAAGTCAAAGAATCCTACTTATTTCTAAACCAAAGTGAAATGGTATATGGCACATAAGAGACTGTCCTGTAAATTTCACATAGAAAATATACATTTATTAGAATACTGGAACTTAAGTTAAATCTCAGGTCTATCTGTTGATGCCCACATGGAAATTGTCTTTATTTACATATAAGGCTGGAGTACAGTACGTGAGCCACGCCGGTGATGAGGTTGTGGTTGGCAAACTCAAGAATAAGGAGCAGGATCGGATATTCGCTGTGTCTCTTCTCCAGGGTGGACTCCTCACTCAACCCCATCCAGTGAAGCAGCAGCGTCTGCATGGCCTCTGGGAATAGTTCTGTGGCTAGTTCCTCAGCAGGTGGCAAGTCACTTATTCGCTCAATATGCTGAACTTTAAAACCCTCCACCTTCTGACTGATGCTACTGTTAGCTGCATGAAACTGCTGGCCCAGCCATTGTCCCATACAGCTCAGCAGGGAACTTGAGTATACAGAGCCCCAGTTTTTGGCCTTCAGCAGGGCCAACACAGTTTCAGTCACATCCTTTTCGTCTAGATTGCCATTTATAAACCGATCAATGTTCTCTAAAAGTAGCAAGACGGTCTCCAGATGTTCTGTGTGGCTGTGAATCTCAGAGGAGAGTTTGTCATCCAAGCTGTGCAATCTTTGCTTCATCCTGGACACAACTTGTTGTTTTTGCTCTGTTGGCAAGCTCTTCCCCAGAAAAGAGCAATAATCATGATCTGCTGATGTGTTGCCGCCTAACGTGTCCAATTCCCTGCCAACCTTGCAATGCTGTGTTGGTGATGCTTCGTTTCTTGACTCACCCCCACTGCTGGGTGTTGAACAATCGAGCATGCTGCTGAGGCTGTAACTCATTTCCAGAGGGCTGTCATTTATTTGCGATTTCCAAACATCCTACAAAGGAAAGGACATAAAAAATAAACAAACCATGTGCACCATGCAGACACATGCATAATGGGAACAGTACTGCACCTGGAAGTTCTCAAGCACAGCCAGCTGCTCTTGCTTATTGTACATCTCAAAGGCAACACGAAAAAGCCCCTGAATACTGTAGAACCAGAGGCAGTTGTTTGCAGCAGGTACCTTCAACCCGTGAAACCTGAATGCTGCAACAAGCCAGGATGGGAGACAACAGTGTTAGGTGTGAGAAGCAGTGTATGTGTGTGAACTGGTGTAAGTCACATGAATAAATGTCTGTTACCTGAGGAAAAGTGTATTTTGGTGGCCAGTCCTTTCTTGGCAAACTTGGCGTGGTACCTGGGATGGTTCTCTGTGCGGACGTCAGTGCTGGAGAAGACATCAGCTCCTAAAAATAGAGGGATTCCTGGAGCCTGAAACACACGTGAACTTTTCAGGGGTAAACATCGTTTCAGCCAAATCCAATACAACTGAAGTAAATTGTGACCGATTCTTAAAACGTATCCAAACAAACATTAAGTTCTCATCAGTCATTTGGGTTCTCTCTTTATCCCCTTTTCAAAATTGGTTGTACACGTAAGATATTTATGTATGTCTTTATATACTACTGTATGTGATAGCAGAACATGAAATGTGGCATTTAATTGAGGACTTTTTGTTCACTTTTTTTTTCACAAAAAACATTAATACGAGCAGTATGGAGGCGTTTATGTCTTTTTCTGTAGTTTTTTTTTTTCATTTGAGGAATCAGTCACCATTGACTTAAATTGTACTGGATTTGGCTGCCGCACTGTTTACCCCTGAGACTTCTAAAGTGTTTTGTGGACTCAAACACTTAGATCGTGAGTTAGATTTCATTTTGGGGTGAACTATCCCTTTAAATTAGTGTAAATGACGTTCACGCAAAACAAAAATGTTTTAGTTTTTTCTGGTGTTGTGGTAGGAGTTGTGAAGATGGTGGCCCGTGCAGCGCCCTCTAGCTGGGTGTGATGATTAATACACTTGTTGCTATAAGAACAATAAGAAGCTGCAGTGTGTGGTTGTCTCACCTTGTGGGGACTCTCCGCCATCCTGAACGATGTCACATCCACCAGATAAATAAAGCGGATTCTCCTCGAGCCTCCGTCCCACTGCGGCAGAGTCAGGTGGATAGTTGAGATACTGGACATTGTCGGAAGCAAACGATGCTTCACACCGACTCTCAGCTCTGCCCTGTCCCTCAGGAACAGCGGGTATCGGTCTGAATCAGGTCTGAATCCTGTCAAAGTGATGAAGTTAGACTTCCGCTGCTAACACTGGGCCAACCACAGAAACATGCGGTGAGGAGTGTGTATGCCCTCAGCGCTGTCTTACAGACCAAAGAGTACCTCATGATGGAAGATGAAATATTCACAACTTTCTGCTTCATTTAACTTCTACCAACACACCGCAAAACTGTGAATGTTTAATCACAAGAAATGTAATTTAAGCTATCAAAAGTAGCAGAAATGTCTGCTAAGATTGATACTGTTATATCAGGTATCACTTTATTAACACTAATACTTCAGGCCTATGCAAAATTGTACTTAATTGAGATGCAGCAAATTTTTATATGGCAGTGTGATCTTGATCTTAATTAAAATACAGTGGATATATGCGTGTATTTCATTTGCTGTAGTTGAAGATCTGTTGAAGCAGCTTGTATGTGCTTGAAGGCTTCATGTAACCTGGGAGACACAATGATGGGAAAACAACTCCTCTCTCGCCCAATCAGGTTCGCTGCACTCATCTACGTCACACAGTGCGAACCAATGAATGCGCAGAGTCGCTGCTTTGACCTTTGATCTCCAAAGTATCAAAGCTGGAGGAAAGATGGCAGACGTAGACTTCGGCGACAGTGAGCTCTTTGAGCAGCTAGATCACTCCGAACCACCGACACCGACACACATTCGCTTCACAGATAACGAGGAAGAGCCGGAGGAGATGAGCCGGCGCGCCAGACTGAAGGAGTATCACGACTCCATCAAGAGACTCACCGAGGAGAATATCCTTCCGTCAGATCCGCGCTGTGTATGCTAGCGGGGCTCTGCTAGCACCGTTAGCATTTTGTGTGGGACCAAAACAGCTGGTTTCTTCTTATTTGTGCATTTCCCTTAACTCACAGTTTCACATGCAGTTTTACGGAGACAGCTGAGCGTCCTCACACCACCAAGGTAACAGGCGGACACTCGGTTGATCGCAATACAAGTAAAGCTAATCACTCAGCGCTAATGCTAATGTCCCTCTGATTTTACAGTGGCATCACAATTGAAGATGTCAACACCGGCGGACCCCTTCTTCAAATCCTTTATGCGAACAACAGTATTTCAAAGTGAGCTATGTTTCAGTGTTGTTAATCTACGGTGGCCCTGAAGTGCTAATCACGACTTCAAATCAGAAAACACAGCAGCAAACCCCTTGTCATGCGTGCGCATCTGTTTATCCATTGCTGAAACAATAAATTAAAAAAATACTTCTTTCAGGCAGTGTCGTCAAGAGATTGAAGATTTTATCTATAGTGTGATACTGAAGCACCAGGGAACAGGACATGAGAAGAAACAACCCCCCACCTGTGTCAAACCTCAGGTATTTACCCAGAATTTGTTTTACTGTTATTAATATCCACACGGTTATACCTGTATATGCAGAGGAAAAGTAAATCATTGTTCTACCCCTTGTAAAGAGTTCAGCTTTTGCTATGGATGAAGATCCACCAAGCTCATCCTCATACAGTGAAAAAGCAACACAAGCCTTTAAAGTGAGTATGTATCTGTATTTTTCAAAATGGTATCTCTCGGTGGTTTGAATAATGCAACATATATAAACAGATTTTTTTTCTTCTATCGTAGGTGGTTGGAAGTGTGTCATATTTCACTTCTTTCTGTATTGATAAACTTGGGCAGCCTCTGGTCAATGAAAACCCCCAGATGACAGATGGATGGGACATTCCAATGTATCTTTAAGATGGTGCTGTGTCAAACATTCACTTTTATTCATTTTAATATGTTCTTATTTTAAAAGTGTGCTGCTGAGTCTAAGTAGACAATATAATTTGATATTTCATCAAATTTTATTTAATTTCCTGAATGATTGCAAAGCTATTCCCAGGTTTTTAACCAAGTACTCGGAACAAATGGACAGGAAATCGAAATGAAAGACAAAAGGTATGACTGGGTTCAATAATAGAAGCTTTATTTAGTTTCCATCTTGTGTTTATGACTTGCTTTGTTTAATCGTGGTGTATAATGAGTCATTCATGTGTCTTTTCGTTTTAGACCCAAGTCCATGTGTTTTAACTGTGGTTGCGGCGGTCATCAGCTGAGGGATTGTCCCAAGGTGAGAATAATGAGTTATTAGTGTGGCATTAACCCAAGTTAAACACAAGAGTCATAAGTTGATTAACTTCATTTTTACATTGTCACCTCCATAGCCTAAAGACATGGCTGCAATCAATGAGAGAAGAAAAGAGTTCAATCAAAACAACAACCAAACCATGCAGAGTAACCAGCGATACCATGCTGATGAAGTGGAGGAGCGCTTTGCGAAATACAAGCCTGGAGTCATGAGGCAGGACTTTTACTTAGCGCTGAACAGAAATGAGCTGAATTGAACCACATGTAGTACCTGTTGGAACAAGTCAAAGTAAATCTTGATTACATAATGTTTTTCACTGTGTTGTTCACTTACAGTGAGGAGCTGCTGGCAGCACTGGGAATTGATGGCAACACCCTTCCTCCTCTGATTTATCGCATGAGGCAGCTCGGCTACCCTCCAGGTTGGCTAAAGGAGGCAGAGATGGAAAACTCTGGCCTAACACTATACGATGGAAATGGTACGTCGTAAATCAAACATCAGACAACTGTGTGTTTCCAATGAGTACATTTTAATAAACTGCTACAAATCTATATATTTTTTTTCTCTTTTGTAGCACCAAATAATGGCAATACAACGGAGAATAGTAAATCAGAAAACATCTCTTATGATGTTTCCAAACTGCAAGATTTCCCTGGCTTCAATGTAGCTGCACCAGACAAAATGAAAGATGTAAGTCCCTACACCAAGGTTCACTTCACAAAGCTCTTGGAAATATTTGATTTGTATTTATTTATACTGATTTTATTTGTCTTCTTTCACTTTCATGGCCTTTTAGTCAACTGCCTTGTCTGGTTTTGGTGGTGTTTTTTAGTTTACTTCTTCTTATGTGACATTGTTATGAAAAGTTCTATACAAATGCACATTATTATTATCATTACTTTATTTCAAATATTTTGCTTGAATGTATCACAAGTTGTGTGAATCCATACATAGCAGCAATATTTACTGTATATTGCAGGTTGTATTAATACTACATTTCACTTCTGTATTTTTTCCTGTCAAAAAATTAAGAGACTTGATCTTTAATTGATGGGCATGGAAAATAATAATTTAGTATTACATGTCAGTATAAATAATTTTGTCTGTTAGACATGGTGGCATCATAAATATGGTTTTATTGCATTTTTACAAGTGAGTGTCTGTCACAGTTGTGCACCTTACACTATTTCATTTTTATTTGACCTCCAGGAATTCATGCAGTATGGTTCAATTCCACTGCAGAGCCACCAGATAAAGCAAAACTATGCAGCGTACCTGTCCAACAACTTTCCTATGGTGAGTATCTTAGTCTCTCAGTGGTTGGGTGTTTCCTCCTGGCTTCCTGTATCAACAGCTCCCTATTCAAAAATCAAAAAATGGAGGATAAAAAAGAAATGACTGTGTGTGAACTCAGTCTGCCACTCTGTTTTACATAACAGTCTGTGCTGTCCTCTTACAGTGGATGTCCATTCATCCCACTCAGCCACCCAATCATACTAATGTGAATTCACAGTCTTGTCTGTCATTCTGGCCTCAATTTTTCTTATATTGGCACTCTATCAGATACGGATTAGTGTCTGGTGGCTGCATTATAGGCAGAGTCTAATAATAATCTCATTGCACATGTCATTCTTCGTTGCCTACAGCCTGGTGACACCTGCAACAAGAGGCGCCGTGAATCGGACTCTTCTCCACAGCCGAGGAAGAAAAATAGGCCCAGTCCTGATCAGAACTCCAGCAGGAGCTCAGATATGGATATCGAATCAGGTAACTGTTCATCTTAGTCACTTTTTTCAGCAGGCATATTATGAGTCTTAAATGTCCAGAAAACCAAATTAAATAAATAAACAGTAATCTGTAATTTTCTTGAGTTTTATCCCAAATTCCAGTGAACTTCACGTTTTATAATTTGTTCCATTTAGTTTTTCTTTTACAATACTGTGTTGCAAGAAGCTAATATTATGTTTTAGTTATATCTTAAATACAGAAGTATGCACAGAAATACTATCAGTTGCTTCTTTGATTGTACATATTTGAAACTTTTAGTGACTTAATTCATCTCTTCTTTCAGATCCAGGAACACCTTATAACAGTCGCAGAGGTGACTTCAAGTTCCAATCACCGCTTCCCCCAGGATCTCCTTGCTTCAGTTCACCTCCTCCTTTACCCCACGGCACTCCTCCAGCTACACCCACTCCCCCCCCTCTCCCAAAAGGTACGCCTCCCCCTACTCCCAACAACGGTTCTCCAGCTCTGCGAGGGCAGAATTGGGTCGTGGTTGATGATGCTGTGGAGGGGACAGATGATGAGCTGACATTAGAGGAACTGGAGGAGCAGCAGAGGCTGATTTGGGCGGCTCTAGAAAATGCTGACACTGCCACAAATAGTGACTGTGACACACCTACTATGGGAACACCTATACCCAGTTCACCGAGCGTGTTGACACCTGTGCATGTCGACACAGAAACAGAAGAGGCTGAAAAAGCAATGGACACAGATAGACCTCTAGAAACTGGCCAAAGTAGCCCAAATCTAAGGGAACCAGAAAATCAAGAACTTTGCCCTCAGAGCCCTGGACCAATCAAAGCTGAGGAAGATAGCCCTCAGAGCCCTCATCCAGTCAAATCTCAAGACGACACCCCTCAGAGTCCTGGTCCAATCAAATCCCAGCAAGACAACCCTCAGAGTCCTGGTCCAGTCAAATCACAGGATGACAACCCACAGAGCCCCGAACCACTCAAAGTCCAAGACGACAGCCCTCAGAGTCCTGGTCCTGTCAAATCCCAGGATAACAATCCACAGCGCCCTGATCCAGATTTCTCTAACAGGGATGCTGATGATGACGCTTCTCTTAAGCATGATGAGAAGATAACAGCTGTTCCTCACCGCAGCAAGTTTGCTGCTGGCATTGTTCCATTTGAAGATACACCAGAATACACTGAAGTTGCTGAAGCCACAGGGACGTACCTTAGAATCAGGGACTTGCTTAAAGGTTCCCCTCGAAATTTGGCAAAGAAAAAAGAATAATTGTATATCTTGACTTGGACACATGAATATGTGACTATTTTTTTAACCGAAAAAATATTTTCATTTTCGTCCCCAGCCTATCAAGCATGTCTTTTTTAGCAGTTAGTCAAGTTAAAATGAATTTGTAAACATACAATGTGGGAGGGGCAGTGGCAGATGATGCAACAGCATTGTTTTGTAGATTTTGACTTATTAGTCTCCATCATTTTAAAGTAGTAGTGTAACTGCGGCTCTTGAGTTTATTGTATAATTTGTAAAATGGCAATTTCATGATATGTATTAATATTCATATGTTGTTTAAAAGGCTTTTTCTATTTTACTTCCTACTTGAATTGCTTTAAAATCTTCAAGTAAACCTGCTTGCGTCCTTGCTTTTTTTATTTTGCTGTATATTTGTGTCTGAACAAGTTGACCATGTTTTGCTATAATCAGTTCAGGCCCTTGTTTTATTAATAATGGAACAAAACACACATGAAACTGCATGTAACTGAAAATCTGCCTCAAAACTATTTTTATTTGGTTCCCACGAGGTTAAGAAGTTTAATCTTATCTTTTTATTTATTATGAAATTATCACATTGGTTCATACTAGCTGAAGTTACCTTCTTAACACTATCAATGACAAGAATTGTTCAGTTGTAGACTCAAATACATTTCTACCAAGCGTATGTTTAGTGTTTCAAAGATAAGAGAATTTCCCAACATAATGAATGTAGACCATCTGTTTATGACTGAATGCTGACACCCCCATGTATGCAGAATATTTGAACTCTAGATTTGTAAATGACCTATGCATCCATGATGCATACTGAATGAATCACACACACACACACACAAACACCCCTACATACATATTTATGCAAATATACACGCCTGCAAGCAGATATAATGCAATGTATGTCTGGGTCTGCTGTACTCTGAGAATCTCAGTTATTTAACATCTTACAAAGTCATGTGAAAATGATGATGACTACTCTCTGGCCTTTCGTCAAAAGACTTTATTTCCTTTTTCCCCCACATTTTGGAAAGTGAATACTGGAAGAAGATGTATGTGAATGTAAATTACAGATGTCTTGCAATCCCAAGAAGGGATGGACCAAAAGCATTGGCATTACATAAATAAAGAATATATGTGTGTTTGTAAACTATATGTATGTAGAATATCTTGTTCATACTGTATTAATAGCATATACTCTTCCATCTCTTTGTTGTTATACTAGTATGTCCAATTGTCTGTCTTATACTAATAGACAACCCATATTGAAGATTTTCTGAATTTCATATGAGCTATAACTGGCTTCTACCACACCTCACACATTTTGTTTTTA